AGGGTACATCACCATTCTCCTTCTGATATAGCATGAACTCCGCAGGGGCGCGAACAACGGGACCGCGACCGCGAGCAGCGTCATTTGCGCGACAGATCGAGCCCCAGCTTGGTTGACAACGAGTTAGGGGATTCTACTACCCTTTCATATATGGGTGATGATTAGAGTTGGTCTATGACTTCAACCACTTGGAATTGTAATATATATATATATATTTATTTATTTATTTAATTATTTATTTGTATATAGATACATACATATTATACGTACATTTATATACAATTATAGTTAATGAGTTGTAACTGGGGTGCACTTGGCCTGAGTTGGTCTCATGTACATAGCCCCAAATTCGATGCTGGCTGGAAAAAAAAAATCTGTGGACACGGAAACCATGGGGAAACCAACTGGAGATGGATCGTTTAGTAGCACCTACAGTAATCTCTTGCTATGAAAATGGAGGTTTCTTTAGACAAAAACCTACAAAAACTTACAAAAACTGATTGTGTAATCTCGGGATATCAAATCCAAGATTTGGAACTAACTTGGGCCAGCAATACTTTTTGTCAACAACTATTGGGTTATTTACCAATCGTCATGTTGAACGCCTCGTGGCGATAGGCATATCTATATAAAATTACCAGATGCTGCTTGGATGTAATCGGCATATTTTACTTATTTACCATGGGAAAATTGTGATTTTTTTCGATTTTTTATGGCAGTTATGGCCCCCTTACAGTAACAACTATGATGACATAACTCCTACAAGTGAGGTTGTATATCAAGAAATAATCCCATTTACAACTCAAAAAGTTGGGCCATAGCTGTACATACAATTTTCATGGGGGAATTGAAGCAACTATTCCGTTTTTATTGGATGAACATGTTGTTTAGGACTCCCCCAGCCCTAAAAGACATCTCCGTGGCAAGCCCTGGCAGGCTATAATGTCGATCAGCTCAGTCGGCCCTGGGGATCCCTGGGGCGTGGGGAGGTGGAAAGTCCACCATGAATGTAGATCCTTTTCCGGGGAAACCATGGGTTTTGAAACGATTTATGGTACCCAGGGTTAGTTTAGAGGATGCCTTGTGAAATTGTTTCAAGGTACTAGTTTACAGGAGGATACCTTTTCAATTTGTTCAAGGTACTTCAATGATTGTGAATTGATCAACACTGATTCAATATGTCATCTACGTCGTGAGACGTCATAAGTCGTAAGTGTCATTGTTTATCCAGACCCTGGGGTGAAATGATACCAACATTTACCAAATCAGCTGACTGAGCTGTTTTGATGGCGCACGTTCGCCTTTGAGGCACGAATGCAACGAATGGCTTCATGGGAACAAGCGCAAGCCTGTGAGATCTGGCCTGTTTTGTGCATGGCTATAACATGACATTGACATTGACAGCGCTTGCCTGGCCAGTTGTTCTTTCTTTTGTTGGTGATTTAAATGCCAAGTTGACTTGTGTTGGCAATCATGTTTCAAAAGAAATTATGTAGAAACCATCTGGGAAGGTAAAAATCCCTGTTTGTTGTTTGCTTACTGGGCAGCCCCTTATTTGGAATAATGATATCTTGCCCACTTGACAAATAGTGCAATTCCAAAATGACTGGTTTCATACTTGAAATGAACACCATTTTGTTGGCCCTGTGCTGTTCAGCTACTCTACTTGGAATTCTGTGAAAATAGGGGGTGGGAGGGCTCTCTCTGCTGAATTCAAAAGGCCATATCGGGGGTATACCGATGTATCCCATGTTCAAACACACCCAACTATCATGTATTCTTGCTTATCCATAACCCCAGCATTTTTCCTCCTTAAATCACCATCTGGTTGGTGGTTTGGAACATTTTTTATTTTTCCATATATTGGGAATTTCATCACCCCAACTGACGAACTCCATCATTTTTCAGAGGGGTAGGTCAACCACTAAACAGCCATGTTCCCTAGTGACATTCCTAATTCCCATAGGATCCATGTATGGTATATATGCTAACATTTGGGGTATATTGATGGTAAATGTTACCATATATAGCATACATGGATCCTATGGGTTTGGAGCCCAGAAACCACGGTGAAAACGGCCGGCAACCCATCAGGGAGTCGCGCGGCCATGGCTGCAGATCAGGCTTTGCAGGACCTGAAAGGGTGAAGTGGTGAAGCGGGTCACGCAGGAGCAGTGTCATTTACTACGGAAAATGATGATTTTACCAGGGAAAATTATGATTTTACTAGGGAATATGATGATTTTACTATGGGACAACGGTGATTTGACTGTGGGACGACGGTGATTTCACTAGGGAGAATGATGATTTTACTAGGGAATATGATGATTTTACTATGGGACAACGGTGATTTGACTATGGGACGACGGTGATTTTACTAGGGAAAATGATGATTTTACAAGGGAATTTGATGATTTTACTATGGGACAACGGTGATTTGATTATCGGGACAACGGTGATTTTACCAGGGAAAATGATGATTTTATTAGGGAAAATGATGATTTTACTAGGGAAAATTGTGATTTTACTAGGGAAAATGGTGATTTTACTATGGGAAAATGATGATGTTACTATTTTTATGGCAGTTATGGCCCCTACCTAACAGATATCAATGGGATGAAGTGGATAGGTAGAAATCCTTGAGTTTTTTTTTTGCGGAGCAGCAGAAAATGATTTTCTTGTGGGCTACCAAAGATTAACCATGTGAAACCCTTGCTGATTAATTAAAACCCATTTGTTTAATGATATTTAAGCATGACATATACGACATGTAATTGATAAATATTGATAATTGACTGGTTGATTAATGATAATTTGGGGCTATACTGTTCAATATATTGGGGATCTTCACCATGTGTTATGGGAAAGCCTTTTGAACAACAAGTCGGGTTTTGAACTCTGTTCCCTTGAGATATTTTGGAGGATTCAAAGTGGTTTTCAACCCCAAGAAAAATAAAGTTACAACTTACTGGGCATTTTTTGGTATCACCCATTTGAGGCGTTCAGTGTCCTTAAGTAGTAAATCATACCCTCTGGTAAGCATACAAAAAACTATGGAAAATCAACATTTTTAATGGGAAAATCAACTATTTCTATTATCTATGACCATTTTCAATAGCTATGTAACAAATTACCAGAGGGCCAGAGGGTAATCATTTCAGGGGAACATTCAACATTTTTGGGTTGTCACCCAGGTTACCCCAGTAGTTCAGCCGAGTTAAGCACCAAGTTTCTACTATTTTCTACTGGAGTTATTTGTTTAGTCAAAATTGCTGGGCCAATCTGGGATATAGCCTCTAGTGTCATCAAACGTGGCTGGGAAAATCATCTCTAAATAAGGGAGATTGATATAAGCCAAGTATATATTTGCCGATATTAGGGTATTGCTAAGGGGAGAGAAGGACAAATGGAAGCAAGGAACGGATAGAAACGGTGTAACACGCTTGCTTCGCGCACTGCCGCTTGGTCTGGCACGTCACCTTGTTGGAGGTCCAGTTCCGTGGTTTCCTGGAGTCCATCACTTCTCGTGGGGTCACGATCCAGGCTTAGCGTTCTCGTTCAGTTGAACCAAGCTTGACTTTTTGTAACATAACAACCATCAATAACCCGTGTTTTTGTTACAGCTTCCTCAGGGTTTCCCGGTTCGCTTGTCCTCGGACGGATGTTTTTCGATGCTTTCCTCCTGTCCATGAGATGTCAGGAGGTGTTGGATCAGAGTCGTTTGGCACATTTGTTGTCAGAGTTCAGAGCTGAGATATGTTCAGACTGGCTGAGAGCGAAATGATTTTCTATCTGTGGGATAGGACAGATCGCGAGATACGTTTCTTTCCTTGACTTGGGTATTCTTTTGGTGTATATGAAGAAACTCATGTGCACAATACAATATCAGTGACAGTGAAGTTAACTGTAATGAACTGCTTGTTGAAGCTAAGAGGAGCGAACTTTTAGTGAGCCTTCGCTGGACAAGACCTGCTAATGGCCGAGTATATATATACACATGTATATATACATATAATTATATAATTATATATATATATATATATATGCGTGTGTGTGTGTGTCCTGTTATGTTCTTGTATGCGTTTTTTTGAGGAGTTACAAGGTAATGACAGTCTCAGAAATCTTTACTACATGTTTTTTGCATGTTTGAAACCAAAGGTCAAAGCCTATGTGGGTCTTGGCTAGTTGTGGATCTGGGTCTCTTCACTCTCAGCCCCAATTTTCTTAGATTTATTTATGGCAGAATATGGCAGATATAAATCTCTAGTCACCAGGGATATGATATCAACCAACAAACACCTCTGGGGGGTGCCCTACCTGGGTAAGTCCAAGTCCCTTCCAACTGGCCCCACGGCGCCGCCCCGTTGCTGGAACCTTTGGCCCAAGCTCACCCCTTTTCACGTGCTCAGAGTGTTTTCCCTACCAGCGCGGAGGCTTGGACTCGATGGCCTCATCAAGTCATATCAATTCATGGTGAACTGGTTCTCAATGGATTGGTTTAAGGGAAAATCTACAGGAAACCATAGATTTTCCCATTAAGTATGGGGGTTTCCTGTAAATTTTCCCTTAAACCAATCCATTGAGGTTGGTGGTTTGGAACATTTGGGATGATTTTTCCATATCTTGGGAATCATCAGGTAGGTATGTAGCGATATATGCTGTATATATACACTGGATGGTTTATTTCATGGAAAATCCATCTATACATGGATGATTCTCATGATCCCAACTGTTACTCAGTCCATGATTTTTCAGAGGGGTTTTAGGTCAACCACCAACCAGATGATGGTTAAAATTCCCAGAATGGTTAACCATAACCACCATTATTAACCATTATTAACCATTATTAACCATGAAAATCCCAGTAACTCGGTTAACCATTATTTGGTCAACCATTATTAACCATTATTAACCAGTAAATCCCCATGAAAATCCCAGTAACTCGGTGGCAGCCTGGCGCCTCCTCAGCCAGGGGTCATGGGGTCATCCCAAGGCGAAGCATGGCCCGTCTCTTTGCCTTGTCCTTCTTGGTCCTAGCAGGCCACTGTCCACCGGATGACCTGAAGGGGGGTCATTTCCTCAGGAAATCCTGTGGGTCATTTCTGGTCAAAATGAGAGATCAATGTTCAGAATTTTTGCTGTTGTTACCCTCACGGTAACATGACTGGTTGGTGGTTTGGAACATGAAATTTATGACTTTCCATATATTGGGAATGTCATCATCCCAACTGACTTTTATATTTTTCAGAGGGGTTGAAACCACCAACCAGATGAACTTAATTACATAACTCTTGAAACTTGCAACTTGCATTTCTTCTTGCCGCTGCCAAAAAAAGCGGCAGTCTTGACAGAGAGAGCAGATTGTCCATGGTTAGTTATGTCATTGTCATTGGGTTGAAGAGGGGGAGGTACAAGTATGGGAATTACCCTCTGGTGAACTAACATAGCAATGGAAAATCACCATTTTTCATGGGAAAATCTACTATAAATGGCCATTTTCAATTGCTATGTTAGTTCACCAGAGGGTAAAAAATGTGTGGCTTATGTTTTCAGGAGCATGAGGAGAGATCTGGAGTCCTCCATCCTGGCGGAGCGCTGCCAATCAACGACGAATCTGGTATTTATGTAGTGCAATGTTAGTAAAGCAATAGTAAACCATCCCCCGAATCACCAGAAATGGGTGGCAAACACCAACAAGCATCCCACAATCGCTACGTTTCCAATCTTGGTATAAGCGACAATTTGCAGGAAACCACCATAGATGTGGTCAAAACCATGGTTTCCGGTAGGTTTTTCCTTAAGCCAATTCAGTTCTATATCTGTGTTGTTGAAAAATCCCATGACAATCCCATTATACAAATCTTATGATTTGTTGCTGTTTTTTTTCCACCATTTAAATTACATCGACATCCATTGAAATCACTCTTAATTTTGGCGAGTTAAACAGTTAAACCATATATCCCCATGGAAAAGTCCCCATGGCATCACCATTGCTTGTTGCGTTAGGCGCCCAGCTCCCCGACGATGAGTGCGATGTCTCCGGCGGAAACGATTGTGCCCTGCCCCTTGGCGACCAGGGCGACCAGGTGCTCGGTGTGCCAGTTGTAAGTTATTGGAATGGGGATATGGCGAACCATATGAACAAAAAATCATATACTGGTATCATGATAACATATTATCAACATATTAATCTGAATTTGTCACACAATCTGACATATATATATATATTATATATATATATATTATATATATATATATTAAATATGTTATAAGCATATAGATATACATATCAACTTATATATATGTATACTAACCACATATATATATATACTAACCATATATATATATATATATCCGCAAATTACATATGATAACCATGTAGCCAGATATATTCGCTAAGCAGCTCGGTATGATATAATGGTTCAATGGGGAATATTAGGTTCGAGAATTACTCAAAATGAGGCAGACTATAATGGGGATTATGATGGTGATGTTTATTTATAAATAATATTTGGCTGGTGAATTACTCTAACTTATCAAAGTCATAAGATTGACTAATCTTATACCATCATATATATATATATATACATATACACATGTGTTTGCATCTTTTACTTAATATCCTCCATGAAATAGACCCATGAACTGCCCCTTTTTCGCCTAGGGCCGTGGTGTAAAATTATCGAAGTCCAATCCCATCCCGATGGTATGATTGGGTGTTCGGATCACATCCTCACGTCCTCGTATTGGCACCATCGTACACGATCCGATTTCGGAAATGATTAGAGCCCCGAATTGTGCTAGAATTCATCAGGAGATGGGTTTCATATTTTTTAGTTTACACCCATGTTGCTGGTCATATACATCAATACATGTTGGTTAACCCAACCCATTTATTCAGATACACCGCCAAGATCATTTTCTCCATTGCACGCCAAAAACATGGATGGTAAAGAATACCATGATTGCTGTAGCTGGAATGACAATAACGATATGTTACCATCCCATGACTCCCATCATGGCAATTTTTATGGTATATATAAAGATGTTGGATTATTCCATTAGTTGACGTATAACAGCATTATACAAAAGCCATAAATTACATCCGCATGATCTCCCATTTAATCATTTTCCATGCCATTCATCCCAGAACTGGGACAATTTACAGGAAACCTCAATGAATTTGATGTTCATGGCAGCCATGGTTTCCAATAGAAATGTCCCCTCTCACCAGTGGTTAAACCGACCATTTGGGTTGAAACTGTGAAGCCGACAAAGAGTTGGATCCCCTAAATGGTCATTTTCGTTACAGTTCGCTATGTAACTATGTAGAACAACACCATATTTTGAAGTTTGGTAAACCATCTATTTCTATGGGCCATCTATACCAGTTCGCAAACTGTAAACGTTTATATATATATATGCATGTATATACATCTTTTATTGATAATCTCCTCCATGAAATAGACCCTTCACTGCAGACACAGGTGGTGTTTTTCAAATTATCCCAGAGTTGGATCGATTTTGCGTGAAATCCTGTTAAATCACCAGAGGGTAAATCACCAGACAGTTCCATTAAATCCCATGAAATCCTACTAAATCGTTATACATCATCCATTTTTTCCCACGAAGTCCCCAGACGTTTCCATCATGGACCCAGGAATGCCCTGCAGCGAGACGCCCGGCGTTTGGAGTCCACTGAGGACTACCATGACTCTGACCCACCTGGAAATGGTTTAAACCTACCGTAGCACCGATGACCAAATAAGTTGATGACTGGGTTGTTTATAAACCATTTTAGTAAAGGTGATATGTAGGTTTACCATTTGGTGAAATCTATTTTTCTGACTGGTATGGTATTTATAGAACTGTTTATTTAATTGTTTTACCCACATGATATCAAGGATATTTCACGACCTTTTAAGGCAAACTAAGAGTTTGCGAACTGGAAAGATCCACCATTTTTCATAGGCAAATCCATTCTAAATAGGGGGCCATGGCGTCCATCGCAAACTGTTAGTTTACCAGAGGGTATATAGTTGATTATAGTTATGTATATCAAAGAATGAACCATAAAAAGGTGTGTGTTTTTTTTTGAAAACATCCCAGTTTTTGTATGTTATTGGGCTCAAAGACCTCGATGCTTGTATCATGGAGGTTTAAGCATTGACATCAGTAAACCAATAAATCATGGAGAAGGGTTGGTCCAAAGATAGGTTATTTAAATTCATAAAAAATCCATGGTAATTGTTGTTTTCCCCATGGCCAATCCCATTGCTTTTGATTGAGATACCCGTTATGTTCAGACTCTGATCCATCTGGAATTCTGGGGCCCAGGCAGGGCCCAAATCTGAGGTGTGCTACGGTACTGCACTGCCAAGCAGAGTAATGTTGTTTTAAATGAACTGACACGAGGTGCCGGTCCCTACTTATGCCATCTTATGCCTTCGATTATAAACACAGTTAACCATATATATATAGTTACCATAACCTCAACACAACAGTTGAGCTACTATTTGTTCAACTAACTTAGCAACTCCGAACTGCGGCATCACCCAAAAAAACTGCATGTTTTGTTTCTGCCGTGGCCCAAACAGTCGATGAAGAAAAGAAAGTGAATCAACCAGTTGTTCAATTGTGTTTTTTTAATGGTAAAGGCATGTGGAAATAATGGATATATATATATATATATACATACCCATAAGAAATGGGAAAAAATGTTTGAATGTGAATATTTTGAGAGATACTTACACAACTATAGCCTCCAGTGAACTAACAGTTTGCTATGAAAAATGGACCATTTGGAAACAATTTAAAATGGGAATGTCAATAGCCATGTTAGTTTACCAGAGGGTAATCAGAAATTGGACATATATATATATATATATATTTATATATATACATACCCATACTCGGCGATGGTCGTCAATCCATTTTTATATAACCTCTTGTATGGAATCCCCAACGATAACAGAATGACTGTATACCCCATATACCAAAGTTTTGACAATGGTTTGAGTATGGCACATATGGCGCACACTTGACAAACCAATTGACCCACCTTAATTTGGTCATTGCTTGTATTTTCCATGGCCATTTCAGGAACCTAAATTGCAGGTACCTACCATATATAAGGCCTATATAAGGCCTATGTAAGGGAATATCCCCACAAAATATGGTCTGAAATATGGTACGTTTACGTACCTCCATTAAAATGGATCCTGAAGATCTCCCATCGAGTATTTCACGACTTAGAGGACCTTTTTGGGTGAAACATGTGTTGGGTCCGGACGGTCCGACTCGTGATGTTTGGCTTTTTGGCTCACCAGTCTTTGGCTCACCAGAAGAGATCACCACTTCTGTCAGCTTGCTTCATCGCCTGTCATGTCTTGCTGCTGCTGCTCTTGCGTTGAGAGACTCGGAAGGGAAGCCAAATAAGCCAACAGAAACCAGCTCCCCTGATGGCCGAATCCAGCCCGGTGATAGTTGATTGACATTGATTGACAATGATATAGTTGACATTAGTTGACACATATTTGAAAACCATGACAAACATACCCGTTTCGAAAAGAATGTATGTTAACATTATGTTAACCAAAACCTTTCAAGCAGCCTTTTCGAACACATCGATTTATTCTGTGTGTTTGCTGATGAATATCAGCGACTACACACTTTATACAGTTATGGCCATTTATCAGTTATAAGTACTGAACTAACCCCATTTATAGAATGTATAATCTCATAGAAATAACCACTTATAACTGGTAAATGACCATAATTGTATTAATCAAGTACTGAGGGTTTGGAATGGCTGAACCTGGGGACCACCCGGCGGATCCCGGCGGTCTGGAATGGTCACTGGATGATTTTAGACCTGGACCTCTCCAGCGTCACGGCTCGTTAGAAAGACCCCGACCGACTTTCGTTCTGCATATCACTTTACTTGTGGATATCATATATTTGTATGTAGTTGCTGATTATGTAGATTTAATTTGTATTTTTGTTAGTGGCAGTGGCAGTGACTGTGAGTTCATTTGCGGTAGCAAGAAATTATCAATCATCAAGTTTCAGAGACCCTGTTGGGCCATATGGGCCGCTAAAAGTTGGAAAGGTATAGTGGTACCAAAATGGAAGCGCACAGTGCTCCCAAAAGATACAATGCTAACTGAAAGTCTAAAAGGCCATCCGCTGACATAAAGTTTCAGAGACTTAGACCCTAATCTTGTCACTCACCGCAAGTTGAAAAGATATCAGGGGGAGGTTCTGAAAAAATATTGCCCTTCAATTCGAAGAATTTTCCCCACGTAGGCCACAAGAAAACCAAATTAGACCCCTGTAGTTTGGAAACCCAATATGGAACACTTCAAATTTGATACTTACTCAGCCAATGCGTAGTGCTCCCAAAATGGAAGCGCATAGTGGTACCAAAATGGAAGCGCAAAGTTGAAGATTAAATATGTTCTTTTTGCAAAATCTTGTCCAAAGTCAAAATTATTCAAATTTGAGCCCCACAAAAAGAAGAAATGGTGGGGCCCAAAGTTGAAGATTTAATATGTTTATTTAATACGCTTTTAATTCCAAACCTGCTCATAGGTTGTATCTTGATAGTCCCAAATATGTCCAGCGAGAACTCCATTCACGGCTCAGAGGATTTCATTTTACACCAGGGGTTTAGGGTCTAAAATGAAGCCCCAGGGTCTCTACAGTTATGGCCCAACTAACAGTTATAAATGGGATAACTCCTAAAACTGAGGTTGCATATCATGAAACAATCCCATTAACCATCATTGACCGTATACATATAATGCCAACATCGGATTAATCAACCCTCCCCCCCCCCAGAAGGTCAGAACTCTACCTTGTAGGTCATTTTCTTAAACACCCCTTAATAATAAGCAACTCTGAACCATAAAACTTTGGATATGGCTTACGTCAATTAGATCTTAATAGAATTCCATTGGATTTGTTAAAATCTCATGGATCAGAAAGGTGGTTGATTAATCAGGGGCAAACCGTGGTTATTATTAATGGGGGACATGGGCTCATGGGGGGTACCCTTTGGGAGCTATCCAAACTGATGATTTTTATAAAGATATTAATTAGAAATCGATCATTTGGGGAATAGTTGTTTTTTGAAATTTTCAATGATCAACTTAAACCTTAAGTATATCAATGATGATAAAAAAAAGGTAAAAACAATTGGAAATAAATAGAATTGGAAATCAAAATTGTTGGATAAAAAAATCGATTTCAGCACAGGGGGTTGATTAATCATGTCCCAGCCAAACGGTTCATTAATCCTGGGGGACACCTTTTTTTAAATTACAACAAAAAAAATGGGCAGAGGGGGTTGGTTAATACCGCTGGGATTAATAATCCTAACTTGACATTATATATATATATATATATTCACCATGTTAATTAAGGATGTTTTTTTTTGAGGGCCGTAACTGTAGGAGTTGAGGCTTCATGTTTTTTTTCCGGCCTTTTGCTCAACCGCAGCGCTGAGTACCGGCTCGGTGGGTGTCATTCAGAAGTTCGGTGAGTACCAGGGGGTCCAAGAGCCGGGATGCAGTTGCGACCTGGCGGAGCCGATGGAAATTCCGAGGAAAATCGTGAATTCTGGTGAATTCTATAGTGCTTATATACATATATGTAACGGTTGTGAATGTTATGGATTACCATAGTTTTTTGGTTTTGGTGTTAGTAACTAGTGTTTTTTTTGTCGGATATAAATGGTGAAATTTTGAAAATAGTGGTTATTTTCATGGTCCTTGATGTTATGAATCACTATGATTAATGGTGTTACGGTGACCTCTCAACCAGTGTGATGACCCTTAGGAGTTTATTTCCAAGTAGGCTCACTATGGTGCTACCCTCTGGTAATTTAACATAGCTATTGAAAATTGCCATTTATAGTGTGTTTTCCCATTAAAAATGGTGATTTTCCATAGTTATGTTAGTTTACCAGAGGGTATGTTCTATGGTGGATCTATCCTTGGTTGGACAGGTGAATTGCCAGCTGTTGAGCTAGGCGGCACCGCATTTTGTGCTCATTTGATGTTGCTTGGGCGACAGTCAATAGCTCATTCTATATGCAGGGTTCATTAGAGAAAACGTGTGCGAATCTAGAACTAGAACTGGAGAGTGAACAATGTGACTGAATGTTTTTGATAACTTCTAAGATTAAAAACCGTGGGTTAATTATGCCTCGTTCAATGGTTTATATGTTCAGCCACGGCAAATATATATATATATATATGTATATATATATAGAATATAGATGAATATATATATATATATACATATATATATACATATTATGTAGACATATAAGTATATATAGAATATAGATGAATACACACACACATATATATATATATATACATATTATGTAGACATATATGTAGGATATCAGAATAACACACACATATATGGAGGTTTCCTGAAATAAGGGTATCCCCAAATCATCCATTTTATATATGGTTTTTCCTTGAAATAAACCATCCAGCTATTGGTGTACCCCCATTTATGGAAACCTCCATCCGATCCGGTCGCGGCACGTTGAGGCATTTGCTGGCCCATCACCACCGTGGACCCCGTCTCTTTGGCTGTGAGGCGGGGAAAGATATGTAAACATTCACAAAAAACTATGGAAAATCAATAAAGACCATGGGATTTACAATGATTTAATGGAATTTTATAGTGATTCAATGGGATATTAGTGGGATTTACCCTCTGGTAAACAGCCACATAACTATGGAAAATCACCATTTTATAGCTGGGTAAATCAACGAACTAAACAGCGATGTTCAATGTCGCTATGTATTGGAAATTATTGGATTAACCATAGTCATGGGGATCCCCAATAGCTGAGCTCGATGGTTTATAATGGAAAAATCCTATCAAAATGGTTTAGTAATTAATGGAATATAAATGGTATATGAATGGGAAATTAAGGGGATATGATATAGTTAATGACTAACCATGGTATAGTCATGGGAATATGAATATAATGTGGTTCAAACAATGTCATAAAACACCCATGACTGGGAATGGTAAACATAGACGCAACGCCCACCATTTCAGAAGCGGGGCAAATGGTGGGAGTTGATCGTAAACATACCACCTATAAAAATGGTGATGACTGGGGGATGGTTTATGAAATTGCTTTACCCACATTAAATTTAGGTTTAATGATGTGTCATAAATTTAACATGGATGGATAATCATGGATTTGTATAAATATTTTATGGATTTCCGTTTTACAATATTGTTGTAATGGTTTTTGGATAAATCATCAAGTATGCATGCTAGATTGAGTTTGACTGGTGATATTGGAAATTGTCATCTCTGCATTTTGCAAGTGGGTTTGTGTTGCTTTCTGTTTTTTGTTCCCTTTGGTAAACTAACATAGCTATTGAACATTGCCATTTATAGTTGATTTTCCCATTTAAAAATGAGATTTTCCAGAGTTATGTTATATAGTTTACCAGAGGGTATCAAAATGCGCGTCAATTGAAAATGCGCGAAATTGCTACTCTGCGAAACAATAGACCCGATTGCCACATCCAACAGGCCACAAAGCCCTGAGTCATTGTTGAATCTATTCTCACTTGCGCTCTATATATGGTATTTTGTGTGGTTATCGGGGGACAATCACCATCACCAACCACATCTCGATATGTATATATATATGTATTCAGAGGGTTCTATATCCGTTTATTTGTACGAACTCCTAAAACATCACTGCGATGTCACTGGAGTGATGCTTATAAGATTGGGGGTAACTATCCCAAATGGCTGGACTTATTCAATTCAGATCAGTTGGTGAAATATAGCAATTTACCCTCTGGTTATTTAACATAGGCATGGAAATGGCATATTTATAGATGGTTTACCTATTATAAATAGGCCATGTTCCATGGCTATGTTAAATAACCAGAGGGTAATGCAATTTAGCCGGATCTATTCTAGATCAACTTCCATGAATGTTCCTTCATGATTTGTGCCCCCCCAAACAAATGCATACAAATGCTATACTCTCTATAAAGTTGACCTTTTTAAAGCTGTTCCCCAGATAGGATACACTCATACATTTTAAGTGAGGACTTCAATTGGTGACATTTGAAATCTATTCTAAACTGATTTTTTTGACGGTGAACTTGTAGATTGTACTTGAGTGTTAAGCAAGTGTTTTTCCCCCCCCAAAAAAAAAGGTATGCCATTTTTTCACACCATAGTGAGCCGGAACAACTAATCAGGGGTGCTGAATAATTTGGAATTTTCTAGCCACAATAGCTAACCTAGCTACTAATCAGCACCTGGATGTGCGATATCCATGTGCCCAGTTAATGAATATCCAATATCCATTTTTCCAATCATGCCAAACCTTGGTGAAATCGGAAGGTATTCAGATATCACCAAAAATGAAAGACGCAGGCAGCAGGAGTGCAGATCAGATTGCAAGACCAAAGACAACGTCACAGTCACCGTTGCGTCTTGGTGGTTTTGTCCGTTCAGTTACTGCCGTGGGGTAAGCCGGGTAAACGAGTAAAGCTGGGTTGGTGGGCTGATGTTCAGCCATGTTTCAATCTCACATGATTTAAATGTATCATTGGATTTGTTTCAGAGAACATCTACAGGAAACAATGGTTGTTACCACCAAATTGATTGGGTTTCCCAGTGTTTGTTTGCTTAAACCAATCCAATGACAGTAGGAAGTTGTCAGAGAAGTTGTCATAGCATTCTGTGAAAGGTATCCGAGGGCCCGAGGCCATGTAAGGGGTAGCTACTTGTTCTGACAGCAGGGTGAGTAAGCATGGGTAACAAAAAGGCAAAGAAAAAGCCATGGGAAAAGCCTGCGGACCACCTGGAACAGGTTTGGGACCTGCTGCGGATGTGGAGGTAAAGGGGCGACTTTGGACCCCAGATTTTGGGTCGTTACAATTTCGGCAAGGTGTCCGAAGGAAGTCATTCGTCTAACACTTAAGCAGATCTCCAGTCTTGACACCCGCTGAAGCAACTGTTCCTTGTTCCTGATTTGGCATGCTCGAATTCAAACGACGCTGCGTTTTACCTTGAGGTCACAGCCTGTCAATATCGAGTTCAGAAGGACATGATCAAGGTGCCGGAACTTAGCCACTTCGGGGGGCCTAAGTTTCATGTACCAAAAAACTGGACGGTTGAACACTTCAAGCCATGGAACGTGGCGATATGTGTGTGTGTATGTTATATATATACACATTATATCAGCATATAACGCAATAGCTTGGATTTGCTGGAGATGTTTTTTTTCCCCATCGTTAATGCTTGATGTGGGCAATCTACTATTATGATTGTTTCCTTTTCAAATATGCGGCCCGTTCAGCAAATCCAAGATAAGGTTGGAGAGCTCCACAATTGACTCAGTTTACCAATGTGGCAGAGCCATGGGGGTGTCTGAAAAAATGGTGCATACCAACAGGGAAAATTGTGGTTTAATGAGGAAGGATGATGGTGTAACGGAGGCATATATGATATGTCTAGAAGGTCTATATAGATATATCTAGATGTTCAGATGCTTGGAATTCTTCACAATGGTGAGTAATTTGGTAATGTATTCCTCGTATGTGTTGTTTGGATGAAGGGTTCGGATGTTCAAACTATGAAGGCCCTGAAGCACAGTTTTAAGTACTCACTTTCTCCCTTTTTAATGGGTACCTACTTGGTGGTTCGTCCTCCTCAGAATATTGATTGCAAGCCCAGCTTTGAATGCGGTAAGCAGGGTTAAAGTCCACTCATCAGTGGAGTCTTGTAACTACTTGAAAAGATGAGACACCAAGCAACCACCATGTAGCCACAAAGTATCTAGCCCATTTCATGGAAAGTGGTGACTAATTTATCTATCTATCTATCTATCTATCTATCTATCTATCTATCTATCTATCTATCTATCTATCTATCTATCTATCTATCTCTCTCCCTCTCTCTCTCTCTATCTATTTCTCTTTCTATCTCTATGTATCTCTCTATCTTTCTATCTATCTATCTCTCTATCTATCTCTCGATCTATATTTCTATCTATCTATCTCTATCTATTTCCTTCTCTTTCTATGTCTATCCCTCTCTATCTATCTCTATCTATCCCTATCTATCTCTATCTATCTCTATCTATATGTTTTCTCTATCTATCTATCTATCTATCTCTATATCTCTCTATCTCGTTCTCTCTATCTCTCTATCTCTCTCTATCGATCTCTCTCTTTCTCTCTCTCTCTATCTATTCTAATCTAATCTAATCTAATCTTAATCTAATCCAATCTAATCTAATCTATCTATTTATCCGACTAAAAACAGCTTCGGGCTTACCCATTTGCTGCAGGGAAAACTGTTGGAAGAGGACAGAAACTGCCAATGTTTATGGTGATTGTTGATTCTAAGTGTCATGTTATCCGATTATCGATCAATATGACACTTAGAATCAAATATGTGGGATAATCTGATAATATGACACTTAGAATCAACAATCACCATATATTTTATATCAAACAAACATGTCGTGCTAAGCTTTGTTAATCGTCCCATGGGATCACCGAGATCATTCGGCTCGATCGTCTCAGGTGGCACATTTTGACATCGCTGATCCCTTCAGTCAAATTGCCGCAGAAGTGGATAGCGACTTGGCGGCGCTGAAAACTGTGTTTGTCTCACGGCTAAGGAAAAAAACACTTTTAATAATGCTCACTATGCAACATAATTTGTATACATGCATGGATGTATTAGCATGTATGATATAGTAGCTATAACACCTTGTATCTGGAACATGTTATTTTCTTTCGCATGTATCCCAACAGCAAACCATCTAGTGATTTGAGAGATCGTTAAGGTTTGGGCTCACCGTTGCTCTGGGCGTAGACATTTTTTCTAGGGTCAGGTTCCAGAAACTATGGTTTTGTAGCAATAAAACCACATATTATTTGGAACCGTGGGATAGGGACGTTTAATATGAACGGGGGAAGTGGCTTGCTTGGGTAGGAAGTTGGAAGTTTCCTGTTGGTTCTTTTTGTCATGTCCCCTCTTGGTTGTTGTCACCGTTGGACCTGCAAACATGTTTGCAACCCCATCTCGTTATGGTTAGTTTAACTACCATATAACTACCATATAAGGTTAGTTTCTTCACCATATAACTACCATATAACTACCAAATGAAATCCCACTTATTCCAAAGCAAGTGACATATCTAGGGGACCCCACCTTGTAGGGTTACCATCCACGAAATCCGGTGCAGGCGTGCTTCGTTCCAGCATGCCCACCATGACGTTGGACGAAAGCTATGAGGCCAAAGAAAAGATGGTGTCTTGGCAGCTTGGAAGCTGGTTGGTGGTTTCAAACATGGCCTTTATTTTCCATAATATATGGGATACCCTCTGGTAAACTAACATAGCAATGGAAAATCACCATTTTTAATGGGAAAAACAACTATAAATGGGTCATTTTCAATAGCTATGTTAAATTACCAGAGGGTAAAACAAGTGCAGCCTGAGTGCAGCAACCCCAAGTCATGATCACTGGGCATTCGCTGGGCAAATGAAGCCTTTTGGTCGGTGGATGAGCTGATGCCCCACATGACCAAGCGCGCCTGTTTGCACAGCGCAAAAAAAAATCAAAAACAAGTTGGACTGGGTGATATGCACCCCGAAATTCCAGCGAAAGCCAACAATGGCCATATCCAGTAGAATCATGTTTGGGACCATTTTGAGGTTCCATGTTAAACTTAGGTAGCGTATATTCTCAGAATTTGCGCACTTCGGGCACCTTCCAGTTCCTACCCACCCATCAACTGGAATTGTCAATCATATCATTACATGCATGTGTTTCTCAGATACTCCCGCTTTTGTCTCACAGTCCCAGTATATAGTTGGGTCAGTTCAATCCCCTTAAAGCAATAAGCTTGATACCATGAACATCCATAAACATCCAATAACTATGCGCCCTATGTGCCATTTTGGGGGGTATGAAAAGCTCGGAGCCCCAACAGAAGGCTTTACCATCATGCCAGAACTTCAATAAAAGGGCCAATGTGCAGGAAACACGGAAACATGGTGAAAAAAATCCCAATGTTTCTAAAAATAATTCTGGATCTATTCATTTCATTTAACATTGGGATTATTGGATCTAATTAAAGTTACTTCTAAATCATGAAAAATCATGTGGAACTTTACACAGTTGTTCCATGTTGTTCCCAATTTCTTAGGTGAACGAGATCTTGGCCTCGGTGAGGGATGCCATGGGAAAGTACGGCTACGACATCATCAACGTTTTGATCACCGACATCCGCCCCGAACGCTCCGTGATGGACGCCATGCACCTTGGAGAATTTAGCTAAGGCTTAGCTAAGTTGCCTGAAAAAAGTGGCTGAAAAAACTATGGTTTATAGATGTTTATAGTAGATATAACATGATATAACTATAGAGTTACTATAGTTAATGGGGTTTATAAACCAACTTATAACTGGGCAGCATTTTCCCAGGAGAAATCTGACATTGAACCTGGAAATGGATATGAAAGGGAGGGAGAAAAATCATGGTAGTTCCATACATTCCAGTAACGTTCCATACGTGGATCAGCGACGATGACTTGCTGTCTCAGGAATGAGATTAATGCCTCCAGGCGACAGCGCGAGGTGCGATGATTTGCTGAAGATGTTTTTTTTACCCTCTGGTAAACTAACAAAAAACTATTGAAAATGGCCATTTATGGTGAGTTTTCCCATTAAAAATGGTGATTTTCCATAGCTATGTTAGTTTACCAGAGGGTAATGCTCTTCCTTACTATTGGTATTGGGTTCTATGGTGCTATGTATTCCAATTGGTTAAATTTTGCAAACATGTGCTTTCTTAATGCACCCCTAAGCAAATCCCAGTGAGGTAGATCAATTGCTTTGGCAGCAAATGGTTTTAAGTCTATCTAAAACATCTGGAACATGAATTTTAACATGATATATATCCCTATGGATCCAAGTACCTTCTTAGGAAGTGTTTGGGGTATAATTTACTATAATTTGGAGGCTTAAGGCTTAAGTACCTTCTCAGACAGTGTCTGGATCCATAGGGTATAATTATATAGTATATAAATATTAGTATATAAATATATATATAAATGTATATAGATATAATAACACATACACACATAATTATATATATATATTTGTGTGTGTGTGTGTGTTCTGCTTCAAACCGCCATCAGTCACCAGTTTTGCCGTTCCTACCTTTGCCTCATCCCATGGCCGTGGTTTTTCCGTGCCAGGCGGCCTTCGAGCGCGGCGAGGCGGAGAAGCTGCTGAAGATCAAGGCCTCCGAGGCGGACGCCGAGGCCAAGCGCCTGGCGGGCGTGGGCATGGCCAATATGCGCGCGGCCATGGCGCAGGGCTTCCAGGACGAGACGTGGTGGGATGTGGTGGGATGTGGTGGGAGGGGGGAAGATGATGGAAAATGGGAAGGTTTATAGATGTTTTGTAGTGATGTATAGCTGGGAAAATGTGGGGAAATGATTTGTAAATGGAGGTTTGAATGGGAAAATCATCTATAAATGGTGGATTTTCCATTGCCATGTTTCATTACCAGAGGGTAGATGGTGCCATGGTGCTATGGGTTGGATGGTGCCCCAGTTGGTTGAATTTGGAAAGATATGGAAAGGTGACATTGGTGGCTTGGTTGCTAAGGTAACGGTGAAGCTGTTGTTGGGTTGATGGATGGCCTACAGTTAGCGGTGAGATAGATGTAGAGACATGATATACCCTTTGGTAGACTAACATAGCTACGGAAAATCACCATGTTTAATAGGTAAATAGGTAAATCAACTATAAATGGGCCATGTTCAATAGCTATATATATATATGTTAAATTACCAGAGAGAGGGTAGATATGGCATACGCATTTAACCGAATCCATGGAATGCGAAATCTGAGGCATCTTCGGGGTTTATTCAAAGTGTCAAACTGAAGAGAAAATCCATATTGATATCCTATGTTTGGGGCAGGGTGGGGATTGGGAATGGGGCAATGGTTGAACGGTAATTGGAGCACTGGGAACTGAACAATTGATCACAGAAGAATTGCAGGGGGACCTTTTTCGCAAATCCAAGAATGTTTCAAATAATTTTATGAGGTATATTTTATTCATGTTACTCTTTCATGTCCCATAGGATCCATGGTGCTGCTATATATGTGGTAACATGGATCCCATCAAAATATACCCCAGTCATGTTAGCATATATACAGAAAACCATGGATCCTATGGGTGTTGCTTCAAACAAGTGGCCCGATGACCTCACGGGCTGTCTGGGCAATTCGCAGGACTCGATGAAGTTCATGAAGGACGACTGCAGCGGGCTGAGAGCATTGGGACTACATATTACATATGTATATTATGTCTGTTAATGTTAATTTCTAAATATTAATTCATCTAATTGTAAATGTGTATGTTAGATATGTATATGGCATCTACAGGGAACAGGGCGGATATAGAGCAACAGCGCAAATGTCTGCTAGATGTTTTTCACTCATAGTAGCACCCAATATGTTTGGAAGGGTCAAAAATCGGCCAGAGCCAAGGGTGATCTCAACGCCCGAAATGCCACCTCGAGACAAGACTAACTGGCACTTTCGGTTTCCTTCAACATCCTTCAACATTGAAGCTACGCCCAAAACTTGATCAGGGCAATCACATAGTGGTTCCTTTGTAGCATTTTTAAGTGAATTGCCACTTGCAGTTCACCGTTGTTTTTTTTTTGTTTGGACATCGGCGTTTTCAAAAAATCCCGTGGATCCATTTCCGGGATCCACCGGATCCATGCCAGGACAGCGGTATGTCAGAGAAGGAGGCGATGCATATGATGATCATGACGCAATACTTGGATACTTTGAAGGAGTTGCTTGGTACCAAAAAAAGGGAGTGTCAGAATGCCCCCCTATATAGAGCCCAAGATGATGTAGATGTGGAATTCCTGCGAAATATGGCCCAAAAAAAGAAGTCTCTCCGATGAAGGTAGCCATTGAGAAAAGCTCGTTTGGGCTTGGATTGATTGTACAGTAGCTGCCGGCTGGAGCTGTAAAGTTCCCGGAATCCCTGCGCCACATTGCCAGACACTTGTTCTCCACTGCGCGCTTGGACTTTTAATGCCCCCTTACACTAACTCGGTTCTAAAACTTCCATAATCCCCAAGTTGGTATAAGTTGGAGGTCTATTTTCCCGAGAAATTCTCAACAAAACTGATGTCCGTCCCTCACAAAAAGTTTCTGTTCTTTTGCTGTCAATCCTCATGTGTTTGGCTGGTTAACCATGCTAGCACTCGCTGTTGAGGGTTTTTAAATATTTTTCATTCCCATGTTTGCTGCTTATCTCGCACAACATGTCCGCGAAGACATGTTCAAACATGTTCAAACCATGTCAAACCAAAGTTTGATGATTATCTGACCATTTCAGCCGGTTCCCTCAACGTTTTCTTGCTCAAAAACTTGTGTTTTTCCTGCTCAAAACCAAATCATCCAAATCTTTGACGGTTTCCCTTCATGTGGTTCTTCCTTATGCCATGCTTTTCACTCCTTCTGTTTCAAATCAAAAAAATCACCCAAATCTGCCAGAGAATGCCACTTTTCTCCCACCTTTCTCTGCCCCTTTTCGGAGCCTCGAGGGCCTCCGGTCACCGGACCCCCCGAGGTTCGCCGGTTCGCACGGCTCCATCGTGGTGCCGCACGGCCCGTCGGCCGTGGGCGATTTGCAGGGCCAGATCCGTGACGGCTTCCTGCAGGCGGCGTCCCAGCGCCTCGGTGAAATCCTTGGGTCAACCAACTGGATGGCTAGTGCTATAAAAAATGGCCATTGAAATAGTGAGTTTTCCCATGAAAAGTGGTGATTTTCCATGGTTTAACATGGTTTGATATGGTTTAATATGGTTTAATGGTGATTAATGGTGAGTAATATATGGTGATTAATGATAAATTAACTGTTATTTTCCCCAATAGTTGGGATGATCCAATCTGACTTTCATATGTTTCAGGGGGGTTGAAACCAACATAGTTTATAATATATTATAATTTGTTGATATGTGTTGCTTTTTAAATGGAAACATCTACTTTCCAGCTCAGATATTTTGCGGCAAGGTATCTAAGTTTGTTTGAAAGGTACAATGACCATGAGACATGATGGCTGAAGAAGATCTTGTACTAGATTTTGCAAAAGATGAAGGAGTTCTAGAAGAAAATCAAATAATGTGGTGTTGGTTAAGCTTTTGCTGTTTTGGAATATAAGCTAGAAGTCCTTCATCAGCTGGCTGATGACGAAGATGACGCAGAAAAAACAACAAAAATATGAAGGTATGCCCCTATGACTGGGCATTATATAATTAATCTATAATTACATATAATTACAATTTTGAATCATTTATATAAATCTATGATCAATCTATTGGAAAAAAAGGTGAAGTACCATCAATTTTAAAAGAACTATGTTTTATATATGTTTGGTTCCTTAAGCAAAGCCAACTATATGATGTTGTAATTTCATGCAGCCAAAAGGCAGGCAAATCATTAATAAACATTGGCAAATAATCTATAATCAATCAATTGTTATTGGCAATTACCATGATAGATATAATTAGATATTAACAATGTCATCCCCGAGGTTTGATACTATGTAATACTTACTGGCACCCCTATGACTGGGATCTAACTATCTCGTGGTGAAGGAAGGGAGCTGTTCAGAGGGCTATGATGCCTATTCCATGGGGAGTCGGAGCAAGCAGCACGAGTTCCGAGCCACATGATAGCTGATTTCATACTTTCGACGTCAATCAATGGTCATTTCAGGAACCGATTGATTGGAGGTACCTACCATATATGGCCTATTTGTTAGGCCTATAAATTTCAGGGAATATCCCCACAAAATATGGCCAAAAATATGGTACTAACGTACATCCATTGAAATGGATCCTGGATTTCCCATTGAGTCAATGGACCCCCCAAATGCCCCAGTTTAGACACATGTGGCATGGTGGGCTCTGGAAATGCTGAGGCAGAAAATGTCTGGTGGCATCTTTGGTTGAGATTCTGAAAGGCCATGGCAAAGCCAGAGGCCGGCGGCCTGCGAATTCGTAGCAGAGAACCCCTCAGACCCATGAGGTTTACAAAAAAAACATGGACCAAGAGGTAAACCATAAGACTTGTGACTACTACATGCAAATTATGAAGTTATGATGATAAAGCTACTAAGCATTACTAAGCATCAGTTTTAGTCACAAATATGTCATGTTAATAGGGTTGGCCGCCCCCATTTTGAGGTTAGCCGATTGCTCGGTAGCTTAATGCGTATATGTTAGTTCTTTGAATTGGATATGCGAGACATATGGAATCCAACATTGGCGACGATTAGGTTCTTATTTGGCATTGTTACCTGGTAGTTTTCGATATGCGAAGTGCTACGCAGCACCAGACATTGCATGGAGTTGTCGCTGGTGTTCATTTGCTGACAATCGAGGGTACCTTGTTCTGCCGCTGCTTCCTTTGTACCACCCCACTGGTCGCCCGTTGTCCAAAGACTGGCTGTTTGGCGAAGGTGGGGTGAATGCTGGATGATCAAAGGGCGAACTTTGCAGATTGGTACTCATGCTTATGGATAAAACATCCCATATGCTCCATGTATGGTATATTTACCTACATTTGCCCTAAAAATCACCCAAATGTACGTAAATATACCATACATGGAGCATCTGGGCATGATAAAACTATGCTAAGAATTAAGGTGTTAAACCATCCAAAAAAGCAACCATCTCCTAGGTCCTAGGTCCTTGGTGACATGTGTTGTTGGCAAATGAAGCTTCCAAGATATAGGGCTTCCAAGATAAGGGCCTACACACACAGATATATATATATATATATACATATATATATATATTTATTATTATTATTATTGTTACAATATTAATCCTTTCACCGCAAAAAAAATCACGCAGGAACCCAAGTAATCTGAGGTGGATCCATGCACGGGTCAGGCCCATGAGGGGTTTGTGATGCCTGGGTGTACATATATATATATATATGCATATATATATATATATATATCATATATATATATATACACGTATATACACACACACACACACATATATATATATATGTATATGTATATGCATACACACACACACGCATATATATATATATATATACACATATACTTTGCAGATGGACCCAACTCATGGTTAAGCTTGGCATGTGCAGAAGTGGAAGTTAAACAGGTCCTCTTTGAAGGCGCTGGTTTCCGATGCCCTGTGTGATCCAGTCCTGTGCTGCGAGCCCTGCAGGGAACGCGTGCCCGAAATCGGCTGGGCACGGCGTGGTGTAGGCGAAAACAGCGAAAACAGAAAGGCGGCGGAAGCCGCGGAATGCCTGGGAAATTGTCTGTTTGGACACTTAGATGGGTATGGATCAATACCTATTAATACCATTTTTAGTGGGATGAACATCCATTTACCAGCTATTTTGATGTTCACCAGGGGTACAAGGTTTTGACACACTGCCAGATGGACCACGGAGTTGCTATAACTGGTGGGCATAAGTGGATGATAAGCCATGATATTATATCCCGTTTTGGGGGATATAAGCCACTACTAAATCCTTGGCCGATCACCGCCAAACCATGGGATTCTATACTCAAAACCATCTCAAAAGCATGAAATCCTCCGGTCATCAAACATGGCAATATGGAAAATCCTTCCATGGATTCCATTGCCGTGTTCGATGATGGACGGTATTTTGTTTCTTTCTGTTTTTTGTTGAGGCCTCTAATTTCAGGAACAACATGGAACAACCCAAAATTTGAGCAGGAGTTGGAGCCGTTCATGGTCGAAGTCGAAACCAAAGAGCAACTTGGACGGGAAGGAACTTCCTTGGGTTTGGTCGGAATTGGCCAACAAAAAACGGGATATTATAATATGATATGTGTTTTTCATGATGATATGATATGAATATAATAATTTATTTCTAGAATTGGTACATTTCTGCATGGAATGTTCGGTCATTTTTGGAGGTGGAGGTGGAGTTGCGATGAATGTGGCCTGTTTGTTTCTTTTGCCATACATGCCAAGGATATCGCTAGAGACGTTGAGGGCAACCAAGATTGGTAGCCGTGGCTAGGGCCCCGGCTACAAATTGGTTATTCATGCGTTTTTTCTCGCACAATGTTTGAGTTCATAATCCATGAAAGGAGCAGACAAACTGTTCTGGGTGGCCCTTCACAAGCTTCAAAAAAACCAAACTCATGATATATCAACTTACATCGCTGATGTTTCCAAGGCATTCGTGTTTGTTTGACATGTTTTTCCCGCATGAATTGCCCACATTTGACCCAAATCAAGGACATTGACAGGGTGGTTTTCCCCTATTGGTTGGTTTGAAAAGCCATCCAAATATAGCTGGTTGGTGGTTTGAAACATTTTTTATTTTCCATAATATATGGGATAATCCTTCTCATTGACTTTCATATTTTTCAAGATGGTTATTGCACCACCAACCAGATAGAATCCAAAATATCGAATCTACAGGTGTGTCCACCTTATATCTCGCACCAAAAAAAACAAGGTCGGCTAATTGCCAATCTGCGTCCTAGGACTCAGAACGTCTCGATGGAAGATTTGGGCGGCTTGCCTTGCTTTGGAAGGGACGAACTCGGGGGGGACTTGTTTTGCAAAAATGTGAAGAATTCCAAAATCCATTACAAGATAATATATAATATATATATAATTATTATATACACGTGCACCCCCAGCTACAAGTTGGTTTGAAATGACGTTAAACTAGCTCGACAATGTATATATATATATATATACATATAGATACACCAGAAGTTATAAGTTAGCAAACTAATCTAGAGGCCCCCGCCAGTTTGTTTTTCCCCATGCGCTAGTTCATTGACTCTCTCTTGCTTTCTGGATAGGTTTTGTACGTTGAAAACACTTTTCGTTAGTAGACAACAACTTTTACAGCAATCTTATATCTAACTGTTAGATATAAGATTGCTGTATAAGTTGTTGTCTACTAACGAAAAGTGTTTTCAACTGGGGTATAGTAAGGTCATGGGCCATGTCATCATGTGTAATCTAATCATTCATTATATCCCCAATATTCCTCAGTAGATGGTAAAATCATCCATTAGATCCAATTACATCCGTATTTCCCAAGTTATGTGCCATCTTGTCTAGCAATATATCAGTTCCCCTCTAGAATCATGTGAAAGCATGTTAAATCACTATTGTTCTTGGTGAATCACCATGTTCCCCAATAAAATCATCATTTTCCACCATAAAATCACCATTGTCCGTAGTAAATGACGCTCAACCGTGGCAGCACCGTTGCCCAACCGGTTTCGGGGCAAGGCCTGGACGAGCTGCACCGCTTGCTGGGCATGGCGCAAGAGGAGTTGCTGAAACGAGGCGGGGGAATTAGGGGAATCATTATGATCTCTCTCTCTCTCTCTATATATATATACAGTATTATATATATAGTGATATATATATATATGTATATAGTGATATATATATATATATACAGATATATTAGGATTATGGGCATATATCATATAATGGTCGCCCTTAAATCCATTGGTTGCTGGTCGCATTTTTTGGCCGACTGTGAAGTCTGTTGTCGACCTCACCTCGTGACGTCACTGGAATGATGACGTTTACAGTTTGCGACATAGAAGCCATGGCCATAGAAATAGAGAGTTTTCCCATGAAAAATGGTGGAGAACTATGGAAAATCACCATTTTTCATGGGAAAACTATGGAAAATCACCATAGAAATAGTGAGTTTTTCCATGAAAAATGGTGGATCTTTCCATAGTGATGTGGCTACGTTTACCAGGCCGGGTATTCGATTTCAGCCAGATTTATATCATGGGAATGTGGGATTTCATTGATTTAACCACCGGTTTTTACCCCGGTTTTTGTCGGGAATTTTTATGAGATTCAACCAGCAAAAATGGTCTTTGGCCATGGGTTTTAAGGAGATGCTTCATGGGAGTTCAGGATGATTTCTTGGGGATTTTTTGGGATGGGCTGCTGACCTAAGTGGTAGCTGCGCGTTGCGAATGTTCATAACCCTGGTTCAATGGCCATTTCAGGAACTAAATTGGAGGTACCTACCATATATAAGGCCTTTTTTTCAGGCCTAAATTTCAGGGGATATCCCAACAGAAATATGGCCAAACATATGATACGTTTTCGTACCTCCATTAAAATGGATCCTGAAGATCTCCCATTGACTGGTAAGTCCAGGATTCGTGGGTTATCCCTTAGGTGATTGGAGGCATGGGATGCTCCAGGGTCTAACAGTTTAGCAGATTTTATCCATTAAAATGGATCCTGAAGATCTCCCATTGACTGGTAAGTCCAAGATTCGTGGGTTATCCCTTAGGTGATTGGAGGCATGGGATGCTCCAGGGTCTAACAGTTTAGCAGATTTTAACCGTAACCCAGAGAAATGGTGAATTTATGGAAAGTAATATGATCCAACTAGCACAATTGTTTACAGTCATGAGATTTTATGATGATGTCTACTTGGACTTGATTGGAATTTGATTAATTAACTGCCAAGAATGCAGATTTATAATTATTTGATTTAAAGTTATGAAAGGTAAGTTGATTGGAAAAAACTACTGTAAATGAATTCTAGGATGTTGTGGATATATCGAACTAGTTCGATCGAGTAAAGTTATATCACCAAACATAACTGGGGGAATCACGTCCAGTGTCCAGATCCGTGCCGTGGCGCCACTAGGGCACATGTTAGCAATGCGGGTCACGATTTGATAACTAAGACTGGTTGGTGGTTCAAACATGGTTTTTATTTTCCATTTCATATATGGGATGTCATCCTTCCCATTGACGAACTCATATTTTTCAAGATGGTTATGGCACCACCAACCGAAAAATGTATGTGAGTTGAGCTGATGTCAGTGTGTTACCATCTAATGTTTCCCCCAGGCGTAGCATCATTGGGAACCAGTAAACAGCAAATAGGATGTTCATCCAAGCAATATTTCCAATATGTTCTTTGTTGATTCAGTCTTTTCTTCGGGACATTTTTTTGGAGGCTGGGAGATCTAGTTTCCAGAAGCAAACGGAGGATCTAGTTATTTCATGTTTGCAAGCTTAGCCAACAGCTATTTCAGTTGTTGAAGAATTAGATTTTGTGGCGTAGCATCTCACAAATGGCATGGCGCAGACTACCAGTGACTTGTTTATTTTTATATAAATGTTGTTTTTTGTTTTTCGATGGGGAACGCCCCATGTTTGCTTGGATGTATAGCTCCTTTTTTTAAGTGCAGTCACATTCTTGTCGGTTATTTTTTTTCATTTTGGTTGGTTCACTTGTGGTAATTACTAGTTATGAAAAGTTGGCCAGAGTCAAAGTTCAAAGCTTGACATTGATGCTTTGTTCACATATTTGACGTCCAGTTCTCTTTCCACTCATATTTCTTATTGTTGCTGCTGAACTCGAATATTCCCTGCTAAAAATGAGTGGTGTTTTCTTGCTAAAAAAATAACATATGGTCCACAACCTTAACGTTCTCCCAGACTCATAATTGTCTCATCCAGAGACAAAACATGCGTCTAGGCGAACGTTAATGGGAAGTAGGGAAGAAATCATATATGATCCGCGGTCTCAGAAAACATGTAATTCTGTCTTGCTGGGAAAAAGAGAAGAAATCATATGATCTGCGGTCTCAGAAAACATGTAATTCTGTGTTGCTGGGAAGTAGGGAAGAAATCAGATGATGTGCGGTCTCAGACAACATGGCTCAAGGGCTCCGGAAGAGGTTTTGGTACTGGCTGGTGCCAAGACGGAGTCAGGTGGGCTTCCTTGACAAAGCTTCAAAAACAAAGACCAAAGCCTTTGCCAAATACAAGAAACACTGGACAGGAGCTGCAGGAGACAATATGGCCGAAGGGTTGGTTTCTGCCGTGAAGCAACCAGCCAGACGACTTGGCAGCATTCATGGAGGCCGCTTGAACGAAGGTGGTCGTCAGAAGGCATTAGCTGCACGGAGCAGTGCTGCTCTCCTGCGCTGCTCCGGACTGTGGAACGTTTTGCATGCTGTCAAAGTAGCTTCAGGGAGTCGTGCTCCTCCGGTCTTCTCCCGATCTCTCCAACAAGTGCCTTCCAGTTGCAAAAGCATGCTTGGCTGGTCGCACAAGGACCTTAGATTGTGAGTGCAACATGCGTGGTTTTACACTGTTTTATATCAATGTATATCCACTATATTTACATTTATGGTTGGTTTCATTATTTTACATGTTTGGTTTATTATCATTATTTGTATGGTTGGTCTTTATTATTTCTATTTTATATTCACAGTTATGGCCCAACTATCAGTTATAAATTGAATTATAACTATAATTAAATATAACCTTAGTTATATGAGTTATTTCATCCCATTTATAACCGTTAGTTGTGCCATCACTGCACCAACCATCCATTTCTCCATGCCATCCAGTGGTAGGCGAACTCTACGGCGCGAGCCCTCCGGAGGACGGCATGGATGCAGAGCGCGGTCGGTCGGACGCCTTCAACGGTGCCGTGGTGAGCATACAATCATCTGGGTAAATTATAACGACCTCACTGCGACCTCACTGGAACTATGGTTAATAAGGGAAATGATCCCCAAATGGCCTTATTTCAGGTTTGTGAATTATTATAATTTGCCCAGAATCATCATTTTCCATAGTAACTTCATTGTGTTCCATCGCAAAAATCATATCTGGTAAATTGACAGTTTGACCCTGAAAATCACCAATTTTTGATGGAAACTAGTCTTCCAACCCCTATCTGCCAGGGTCTATGTTAATTTACCAGAGGGTAATATTCCCTCTAGTATTCCCTCTAGTAAAATCATCATCTTCCATCGTAAAATCATGGATTTCCCTGGTTAAATCATCATTGTCCCCATGATTTTTCTCCGAGTTTTTTGTTGTGCCAAATGTAGCGCCCAGGCACCGATGGTAGCAAGGCGAAGTCTGCAGCTGGCTTGGCGGTTCCTGGGGCTTGGTTTGCTTTACCCTATGGCCCTAGTGGTGGTATATAAAGCAATCGTTAGACCATCCATATACATTCATGGCCCTTAACAGTTAAACATGGAATTATAGTTATATATAAGCTTAGTTATAGGAGGGTTATAATTATATACAACCTTAGTTATAATTATAATTGTATTGTTTTAATGTGGGTAAAGCAATGCCATTTGCACCATCCCCCAGCCATCACCATTTTTCTAGGTGGGATTCAAACCATTCCCGGTCATGGGTGGTAAACATGACATTGTTTTACCCAAAGAAAAAGAGCAATAAGTAGACCGTCTAGGCCATCCCCATAGGTTATTTTCATCAGTTCGACCCATATTTTATGCACCCTCTGGTAAACAAACATAACTATGGAAAGATCCACCATTTTTCATGGGAAAATTCACTATAAATGGTGATTTTCCATATATTAAATTACCAGAGGGTAACCCTACTTGATGGTTCCTGGGATTTGGTTTAATGGTAAATTCGGATAAATGTGTCCCAGCAAAGCCATCATAAACCAGCAGAGCATGTGGGTATTATTGCAGTTACGAACATTATATATAATATACCAAATAGATAACCATAATGTTAAGTATATAATGGAATAACCTAACCTAATTTATATATATATATATATTTGTGTGTAACATACCATATTATTAGTTATCAAATGGACCTGGGGGACACATTCTATAGACCTAGATGACCACGGATAACCATCCCCGAAGCCAATTGGAGAAGACTACTGGAAGGTAATTTGCTGTAGAACACCATCATTGATTTTTTGGTGTAGATACCTACATTAATGAACACTATAACATCATAGTAGAACACTTTATAACTACATGAATCTACTATAATACCTAGCTTTTGGAGTTATTTGAAGTAATTTAGCTAACGAACTGGGGCCCACCTTGTACGAAAGATGGTGATTTATTCCATTTAATCCCAAACAACATGGAACTGGCGCTCAGTAGACATGCAAAATCATGCCAAAGACTCTGGAAATTTCTGTTTTTTTCCCTGCCAGAAATGATCTCAATGGTGGCTTGGCAACATAGCTCTGTTAGTTTACTGGAGGAGAATCCGAAACTACAACTGTAAAATAGATGTAATTATATATGCGATGAACGTTATTAAAGTTTGTATCATGAAAATCATGAATTTTCGGGAAATTTGATTTTTTAGGTATACTCAATGGTGCTTGGCAACGATCCATTGGTATTTACCAATTGGTTTACTTATGTTCCATTGCCAAGTTCGTCTACCAGAGGGTACAGTCAGCAAAGCATAGAGCACCATAATACAGCATATGTTCAATAATACTCTACCATACTAAGCATGATGAAGCCAATTTTTTATGAATCATATACCATAATGTCAACCCGAGTTAACAATCTCATGCTGACTCATGCTTACATGGTACCCCACAATTAAACCGCCCAGAGGTATTATTAACCCAGTTTAATATTAATAATGGTGACATTGGTGTATTAACCATGACTGACCCAATCCGATTTTCCGAAGCTCTTCTTTCACCCATGCCCCTCGAGTCCGTGTTGACAAGTTGCCGCAAGCACCAAGTCCTGCGGAGAGCCCCACTACTACGGAAGCAGCCCAAAGGTCGGGCCAGGGACGGATTGTTCGCTGGTTTTCAGCTTTTGTTGTGGAAAGTATAGGTTAATGGACTGATTGGGAAAATCTACAAGAAACCATTGTTTTTTTTACCATGAAATATAGGGTTTTCTTGTAGATGTTCCCTTTGAGCGACCAATATTTTTACACAACCAATGTTAGAAAAGTGAATGGCTTAGCCACATTAGCCGTAGGAAGACTGGGTCACGGCTAGATGTGTCAATCAATGAAGCCGCTTACATTTGCCTTTGGGCAACCGTCCATTCCTGTCCGTTTGTGGCATGCTGCGGCATGCTGCTGGAGAAATACAATTTGAAACAAAGAGAGAGACGGCATAGCCACAATGTGGTGCTCCCCCAGTTATAAGTTGGTTTATAAGCCCCAGTAACTGTAGTTATAAGTACCATAAACCATAGTTATTGGAGTTATGTGCACCAACTTAGCTATCGAACGGGGGCCTCACATTGCATGAATATATTTGATAGATTTTGATAGGGTTGTCATGATGTGTGCATGATGGGTTGATGAAGATTCATGAAGGTTCATGACATGCCCAAAAATAGGCTTCGTTCCTTGGTCGGTCGTATTCCTTAGTCAGTATTCTAGGGCATGGTTTTGAATTCTGTCATCCTTGATGTATTGCAAGCAGTGGGCTACTTGAGGCGTTTGACCAATTTTGGATAGTTATTCCACAATTCTGTTTGACCAATTTTGCACATCAAATTGATCCGTGACGCTAAAATTCAGAGTGGGAAGGATGATTCTTAAGGCCCAAAAATGCTGGAGCAAACATGAGCAAACTGCCTTGGTGCAGATGTCCCACATATTCCCACTGTTCAAAGAGCTGCTTTTGAATGCCTGGAGTTGGCCAAGTGTGCAGGGAGAACAGTTAAAGAACGTTGGATTTGGGAACAATGCATATATGTTGAATTCTGCTGCATACAAGATTTGGGAATTGTAATTTCTACATATTTCTACGCCCTACGTGCGAACCTTGAACTAAGTTCGGAAACTCTCCAAAGCACACTGCTTCTGTTGACAGAGAGCAGAGTCGCTTCCGCTTTGGTGAGCTCCCCATAGTCGATCGTTGAACTGTTGAACAGTCCCACCACCTCGCTCAAGACACCCACCACGTTGACAATCCTGGAAGTTGGTTGGCACATAGCACCTGAGTCAGTCATTTTTGGTAGATTTCCTACCCTGAACTGTAGTAGCTTGTAAACCTGCAAAGTGGTGCCACAACAGTCATACGTTGAAGGGAACATTTACAGGACACCTCTATATATTTTAGTTAAACAAAAAAACATGATAAACATGGTTTCCTGTAGTTTTCCCTCAACCCCATTGAAACAGACCGGCAGGAGCTGTGTTTCTGTAAACTCGCCGGGAACCCGGGCTGCTCCAAGAAGAGTTGTACCTGCCCACAGGGTTGTGGAAGCAATGCGCCTCAGCCAGTTTGGTGACGGGAGATGTGGTGAATTGTTGGGAGCTGAAAAAATGACATGGACAATTAATTGAAGATAGTACCTACTGGAGTATATAAATACATGTATATATATATATACTTATTTGTATACACATATATGTATTTATATATATATATATACATGTAGAATGAGATATGAATATACGTATATATACACACGCGCACACTGCGTACGAATCTAACCGTTTGTTCAACAGTGATAGGAACCTTCAACATGTGGGATTTAGATATTTTGATGAAGGCCAGGCTTAACTCACAAAACGTGGAACATTAAGAGGTTGAAACAAAATGTGTCATACTAGTTGGCTTTTGTAAAGCATGCGGGTTAGCAGCCACACTTGCAGGGGCATTTGTAGCTGACGGGAAAGGACCTGGGAAGCATAGGTTTGGGTGGTTCCCACCTGCCCGTATATCAAAATCACAGCCAGTACTGTTTCATGTCCCAATGTGTGCTGACGGTCTGTAGCAAAAATCCGCTTAAGGAGTGTTCCGATGGTCAAAGTTACCGAGTGAAACGGGCGCAAGACATACCAATGGTTTTCACATTGTTCCAACATTGAATTTCCAGCTTAGAATTGCTGGATAAAATTCATATGTTATGGTAAAGAGAGATCATCAATCTGGGGTTTCATAACTTTGATCCAAGCGACAGCAAATTTCCAGCGGCATCTAGGCTTTTATGGCCCTTGACATATATAAATGGGATTGTATCTTGTAACTAGTTGGTTATCATGAATAAGCCAGTTTGAACTGGTCGAGGGCTATAATTAACCATGGTCAACTATTTATAACCAGTGTTAGCAATTGATAACTACCAATATCCTCCATAAATGGGGTCATTATCACTGTAGCCTTGTTTGTTTGAGGGTTACAGGATGGTGCCCCCCCAGTTCTAAGTTGGCTTATAAACCCCAGTAACTATAGTCATATCTACCATAAACCATAGAATTCAGCAACTTTGGTCAACTGAGCTATTTTTGGGGCCCCATCCTGTAGATGCCATAGGTTCTCCATCAATTCCCCATAGATTCCCATTTATATATCCATTTATATCTATTGTATTTGGACTTTAATATCAATCCCATTTATAATATATATATATATTATATATATATATTTATTTAGAATATATATATATATACATATGCATATATGATTTTGAACCTGCACCTTAGCTCCGCAGGTGGTTTGGCACAGCTCCAACAGTGTGACCTTCAAAAATCGCGCGCGGGCCCACGGGTGCCACCCTTCTACGGTGCTTTTGATGCTTGGCGGCGCCCGTGGATCTCAACCCAACAATAACGATGGGTGGTTTACCCTCTGGTTATCTCAAAATAGCTATTGAAAAGGGAATATCTGAATATCTGAATATCTACATGTATACCCTCTGGTTATTTAACATAGCCATGGGAAATGACCCATCGAAATAGTTGATTTACCCAGCTAAAAAATGGTGGATCTGTCCAGTTCGCTATGTGGCTGTTGACCATGGGATACAACTTAGCATTTTTTGTTTAAAACATGGTGACATGTACAGTCATCAGCTAAAAACATGATTCTTTGGCAGGTCTAAGAAAGATTTACCATGTATGTTAAATATATTTAAATATCATATATCTATACATATATACATTTTTTATGGGGTTCCCCGGGATGAGGTCAATGAGAGGCAATAGATTTTACAAAATGTTGTTTGACAGGTATTTCCTTCCTCCTTTGAATGAAATATAACCCGGTTACAACAGGACATATCCAGCAGATTATAACCGGCTTATCATCAATAATTATGATCCGTTTTGGCTGTATATTTGATGGCAGTTTCACTGGAAGGAATCCATGTCTGCAGATAGACAGATGGTCGGATAGATAGATAGATGGATAGATAGATAGATAGATAGGTAGATAGGTAGCCACGGCTCAAGACAATCCCCATAAATTTGTGGCGTGACTGTACATCCAAGTACCTAATGGTATTCCACAACATGATAAAGAACCCAATCCCACAGATATTGATGTATTGATGGAGTTGCAAAACAGCTGAGCTTGCTGAATCGGAGTTCTTTGGTTTGCTGTAGAGTTTCAACATGTTCATGATGTTCCATCCATTTTTGGCTACTTCAAGCCCATGAAAACGCAAGATTTTGGCAGGTTCCCGCCCATTGAAATAACACAGACTAATAACATGTAATGACAGCAATTGGATTGGGTGACTTAAAAATTATGTCCCATCCATTACAATAAAACAATAATTAACATAGCAAGCTCGCCTATGTTTAAACAGCAGCTGGGCAAGGCAGCTTGCACAGCTTAGCCGTGGAAACCAAGGACTGCGCCCAAGGCCTACTACGGCACACCGCGCGACCTGAAGCAGTGCTCCGATGCTCTCTCAGTGCCGACACGCAGTTGGAGGGTTGGGGGAGAAAACTGGAGCTGGAAAAGGGGTGCCTTTCCAGTGAAAAACTGGACAGATGTGATCTATATTATCTTTCTGGTAAATTAACATAGACCCTGAAAATAACATTTTTTTGATGGAAGCTAATCTTCCAACCCCTATTTGCCAGGGTCTATGTTAATTTACCAGAGGGTAATATTATCTTTATAGCATCATAATCACACATTATTACTGTAATATCGGACTGAGGGCCATGCTATGGATGGATATGATTAATGTGTGGAAAACAATGTCATGTTTACCACCCATTGGGGAATGGTAAACCTACCACCTATAGAACTGGTGATAACTGGGGGATGGTAAAAATGACATTGTTTTACCAACATTATCCCATATATATATATATCCCCTATATTTCTAATATGTTCCCTTTAAATCCCCATATATCCCAATATATTCCCTGGTCATATCCCATATATCCCATATGATTTCAGCATATCTAAGCCATAGCCACAATGTCATTAAAGTATTCTTGAGTAAATAGCTAAAATGCATAGACAGACGAGTCCTAAGTTTGCGGATGAACCTGGATCAGTTGTAAGTTTGTTGGGAATTGGGTAATACATGTGCTTTTTCTTGGGTCATGTATGGTGGTATAGCACTAGAATGGGTGGGTAAAGCGACTGGTGCAGGGAAAAAAGAACAACAATTCCCTTGGAAAGGTAATGATAGGTAGCCATCAAAAGATGAACAACCCACGTCTTCACAATATTATACAATGGTGCGTGGGACATAATATGATATAATTATATAATATATATATATATAGACAGTATATGGATAAATTATAATGACCTCACTACGACCTCACTATGACCTCACTGGAATCATGGTTAGTAAGTATAGGGGAATCATCCCCAAATAGCTTTATTTCAGGTTAGTGAAATATTATAATTCACATATATATATATATATATCTCTCTCTCTCTCAACAGTTGATTGTACCTGTATTGTATTTGAACGGTGGGGAGGTGAAAGATGATAAGTTAGCTTAGCTCGCCTTGTTGAAGTGGTCTGATTGACATGTCTTAGCTGTGGCTGAAAAAAAAATGGCTGTTTTAAACTGGACGTAGTATGCACCCTTTGGTAAAACTAACATAGACCTGGAAAAATCGTTGTTTTCATCTATGATCCATTTAGAAATGATCATGATAGATCATTTATTATCATATGCCAATAGTAATTACATACTAAAATCATCTAAAATCACTATGTTAATAATCTATATGTCCATTAAGAATTAATTAACCTATATTTTTCCATAGCTAAGGGAACCCCTTTAAACGTACCCTTTATTAATCGTTACAAAAAAAACATCTTCATCTATCATGGTCACCTTTTCGGGCACCGGTAATGACTAACAGATATTGCGAACTGGAAAATGGTGATTTAGTTCGTTGATTTACCCATTAAAGATGGTGATTTCCCATTAAAGATGAGTTAGTTTACCAGATGGTATATCCAACTAATTATGTATGGACATGGAACATCACAATTTTTAAGGGGTAAATCAACTGTGAGTTTATCGTATTTGGCCAATGATTGAATTTCATATTCTGTCGGTGAGTTCTCGAAACCATTGCCACCTTCATAGCCATAAATGGTGGCAATGTATCAAATTTATCCAAATTGGCCTACTAACAAAAAATGTGTTCGTTTCCGTCAGCTTATTCAACGATTGTGTTGCTTGAAAGGTGTGGCCTGACACAAACATGGGATGATAAAGATGAAGACATCGTGACTGGGGAGAACGACCGACGGGAGAAACAGGAGGGACTGCCAATATCAACCGACATTTGTTAGTTTAGATTGTCTGTTTTATTACCTGGAAATAAGATTTAAATATACAGTACCTTGTTTAAACATGTCTAAACAATATCAACCAATATTCTTTTGTTTTCCTATGTTGTTTGATGTGCTTAAAATGGATCAAAATGGACGGTTGCTCCAGTCTGGCCATGAAAGGTTATCGAGATGCTTTTGAGAGATAGCTGGAACCTGTACCAGAGCCGGGTGCAACTTGGCAGCAGGGCGAGACGACCTCACCGTGATGTTTGCTTTGTGAATTGCAATTTACCCAGGCTATCCCTGGAACCCATGTATGGCCGTAATCCTGGTCCAAATCGTGAAGTTTTTGCAACTCGACATTTTTAAAGTTGTTTTTTTAAAGAGCCAGGCGTGATTGAGTTAGCTTTGTCAATAGTGATTCATTCATGGTGGCATCAGATGCGACCAAACCAGAAAGACTTAGATGATCTTAGATGGCAAGAAGCACCTTGAAAACAAAGACTAAAGGGACAAACAATGCGCACCAACCATTTTTGCTATTGGACTTCGACGCTGTTACTTTGGGATACCAGTGCGTGTGTGTGTGTCTGTGTGTGTGGCTGCGCGCAAACATTTAGAGGTCATGTATACCGAATATATCAATATATTTGCATATGCGCACACACACACACATATATATATATATATAATTACACATGATACATGGATCATCTCTGCATATATTTGTTGATATTTAGACCCTCCGTTTGTACCTTCATCATGGAGAAAGTCCCGCTACGCTGAGCCAGGCATCGGGGCTCCATGCATCAGTGCTTCCATGGCTCTCGGACTGCCAGCGTTGCTCGGTGTTTTTTGATGGGGATAGAATCTGTGATTTCGTGGGGAAACCATGGATCCATAGGAAAACCATAGGAAAACTATGGAAAATCACCATTTCTCATGGGAAAACTATGGAAAATCACCATAGAAATCGTGGATTTTCCCATTGAAAATGGGTGGATCTTTCCCATCAGTTATGTTAGTACGTTTACCAGGCCGGGTAATTGGTGATGTCCTGGCGGTTTCATGGTGATTTTGGAGATGAACCGTTCATGATCCTAGATGAACATAATCCCGCAGGGATTTGGAAATTACCCTCTGGTTATGACTAACATAGCCATGGAAAGATCCACCATTTTTAATAGGTAAACCATCTATTTCTATGGGCCATCTATACCATGGCTATTTTAAATAACCAAACGGTAACTGATGCAAGCGGAGATGTTTGAGACATTAGAACTCCTGGATTTGCTGAAGATAAAAATTGGTCTATTTACTGCACTGCAGTTGACCAGATCCTGGAAAGATCCGGTTTCCCCTTGGTCAACGGGAAATTCAGGATCCTAAAATGGAGATACTGTACCATATAAGGCCATATTTTGTGGAGATATTCCCTTACATAGGCCTTACATATGGTTTGTACCTCCAATTTAGGTTCCTGAAATGGCCATTGACTTGGGAAAATAACACATCCAGAAGCTTTACAATTTCCTGGTCTTGCTGAAGAGTAGCTGTTATTTTCCTAGTGGGAAATCCATTCGGGAATCGATGAAGGGATTTCTGGGCTTTGTTGATCTGGTGCCCTCCAAGTAGAAGTTCATCTATAAACAGCATCTACCGTAAGTCAAAACCTTTAGACAACCTATATACTTGTAAGCCAACTTAACGTAGCTAACTAGGGGGTATCACGGTATCACCTCGTAGAAAATGTTAAATCGATCAGCTAAGACATCTCAGATTTTGTTTCATGCGTCACGTTTGATTTGACAATGTTTGACATGTTTTTTTTGGGGTATGTAGATGGAGGAAGATCAAGTGACCAGCCAAGTCGACAATTTGTTAACTGGAGGATTCGAGGAGTCCTGAAATCAAGGGGGTTTAGTTTGCAACCGCCAAAAAAGATCAAGTTTTAAGTGTTTTAATTGATCAATTGCCCCAAATAAATTGCCTTTTTTGGTGGCTTGTTTTGTCCCTTGTTTTTTTGTGGCTTAACAGCCACCATCCTTCAGTACCTTCAGCCCCCACCGTTCAGGTGAAGTATTTGCACCTGCAGTCCTTCTGTTCCTATGCCTCTTTCCACGCCATGCCCAACAGTGACCCGGCGGTGTCCGAAGACTTTTCGAAATTGTTTTTGTCCATGGGAGAACCTGGAAAACCATGATAAACCTGAAGATTTCCTATTGACAGTTGTTATTTTTCTTGGTTTATGTTGCGATTTGTTTCTCCCCAACCATCCGTTTATGAAGCAGTCACTTGGAATAGGATCTTCCTAGATGGTTTCTTCGCCCAAAGCCCCAAAGTTTTCAATTAGCTTTCATATTGATATACATCATTTTTATTTCATTTTTTTCGTACTAACTGATATTACCCCCTTCACCTTAATCCTTAAGCCCTTTTCGAAGAGCCCATCTAACCTCTACCTTCAAGCCATGAGCTGCTCGCTGAGACAACCACGCCGTGGGTGTGTGCGTGAAGATGGAGAGTTTGAGCCAGGCGAGTTCTTTGGCCAGGCGTGGTGCTACGTCTTGGAGGTTTTTCCTGAAAAACACAGGGAAAAAAACATGAGAAAATATGGCACATTCCCTAGTAATGGAGGTTTTAGAGCTGGGAAAAATAACATAGGAAGATATGGGAAATTGCCTAAAAATGGAGGTTTGAATGGGAAAAGCCTCTGTAATCTATAGATGGTGGGTTTTTCCCCTGCCATGTTTTATTGCCGGCAAAGGGAACTCCCCTAACTACACGGGTGTCTTACTGGGAAGAGTATCACTGTGCCCCCCGGCACAGGCAGCTCTACAACCAGATGGAGTGACAGGCGCGTCTCACGAACATATTGGAACCAGAGGCAGAATCGACCCCGAAGTTCCAATGATTTCCAATCCCTAATGGGCAATCAAAGTCACGCCTGAACGTGAACATGCACCTGTCAAACCTAGTTGTTATGCAACGTGGCGTCCCGTAGTTCGCTAGGCCGGTTTATACGTGGGTTAAATTAATAGGCTTTTTGGTGGTTTCTGCAGATGCATCTATAGTTGGATGGAGTCAAAGATCGGCAGGTTATATTTGGGGGGCGCCACCTTGTCACCTTGTTGATTGGTTTTCCCACGGTTGATTCACCATGATTGATCCAGTGGTTTGGAGGGAGTTAAGGAGCTGTGGGTATCCAAATTCCCTAATATTCCCCATTAAAAATCATTAAATGGGAAGCTAAGGAGCTACTAGGAGTTTCCCAACCATCTGATAGTTAATCAAATCCAAGATATAAAAACCTCACTGTGGCCTCACAGTCCTGTGGATCCTGACGCTTGGAATGTATTGTCAATTTGAGGCTGCTGCTTGGTGTTCCAACCACTGTTTTTTTTTCTAAACGCCGTGGCTGAATGATTTCACTTTAGGATATGGTTAATCACAACTAGGTTCTGTGCTTCTTTGATACCCTTTGACCACTTAACGTGTTCCTACGTGTTGTTTTTTAATAGATAAATCGTCGATATAGTGGATATATATATATATATAAATGGGCAATCTATACCATTACTGTTAAAAGACCAAATCTACAATTTTCTACAGTTGTGACCCTCCACAGCTATAAACGGTATGAAATAACTCCTGTAACTACGCTTATATCTCATAATAATCCCATTGATATTTGCATTAAGGCCTATGGGCAATCTCATAATAATCCCATATGGTAATAATCCTATTGATATTTAATCCATTAACTAAGCCTATGGCTGTAGATGACATTTGCCCATGGGAAAAGTTCCTCAGCATTCAGTGACCACCTATGATGAGGTGATCTTCAGAGCCCTAATCGCTCATCCAAATGGCATCCATTTTTAGGATGTGATTTATGGATGGGTTATACCAGTGATTAGGCCATTTATAGGCCATTTATGGATTGTTATCACAGGTTATTCATAGGCCAAATGGTATCAATGGATGGTTATGAAAAATATGTTATAACCAGTTTGTGGGCCTATTTCTGTGATGCCACCCAGGGTTTTTTTTGGGAACTATATGGGGAAATATGTTGGAACTATAAAGAAATATGTGTTGGAACTAAAACAAATCCAGGTACCCTCTGGTAATTTAACATATAGCTATAGAAAATCACCATTTCTAATAGGTAAACCATCTATAAATGGGTCATTTTCCATAGATTCTCAACGAAGTTTTCCCTTTCTGCACATCATCACATTGTTCTCCGATCTTTTCGCTGAGCCAGGTCAAAGTGATGTGAAAGGACGGCCGTTGGCAACGTCAGGTCATAGGGTCTCAAGCGTTGTGGCTGACGGCCGAAAAAGTTTCCATACAGCCTGAAGAAACCTTTGGGGTTCATGTTTTTGTTGGTTTAAATAGCTGGGCTAGACATGGAGGAGTGTCAGTGATCCCAAAATTGCTGAAATAAACAAGTTTTCTTGGTTTGTTTTTCTTAAAGATAGTGTGTCAAGGGTGAGATTCCTTGTAATTATAATCTTGTATAGCAGTGTAAGCATCAAACATTCTTCGGCCATGACCATGGCATGGGACAAGCTTGGCGGCCCGGTTTGGTATAGCCGCGCGCGGCATGCGCAGCGCGGACTGGCGCGATGGCAGGATGGCTTCTGGCTGCCATAGGCACCTGCCAGGCACAGAGTCAGACTGTGAGTGGAAGTGCGGGGATGTACAGTTTTTCTGCTTGGGGTGAAGATTGGAGGGTGCAATAATCCCAATACCCCCTTTGCATTCCTGGCACCCCAAGATTTGTACGTCCAGCACTGCCACCACTCTTTGCGCCCGAGACTTCACTGCGAAGCGTTCGAAGTTTGTGAGAAATGGCGGCAGCTAGACACAGGAAACAATATGAAAGAATGGCTGCCCAACCCCAAATGAAGTTTGGCAGAGAAAGGTTGCCCGTGAAAGTGATGAAAAGGAGGATTGATCTCTCATGGGGATTCTACAATGAAATCCGGTTTCCATCGGCTTGACTTATTCGGCAACAGCAAACGATGATTTGGACATGAGACTATTGGTGTGTCCGAAATAGGGATGTACTCTCAATTAAATGTGATTTAATACGAAACATTAGCTGGTTGGTGGTTTGGAACAGTTTTATTTTTCCATATATTGGGAATAATTATCCCAACTAACTTTCATATTTTTCAGAGAGGTTGAAACCACCAACCAGCCGTAAAAAAAAATGTTTAACATGTTTAAACAATGGGATATGTTGGGTGTCTACAGCTGTACAGTTCTTCCCTCGCCAGAGATGATGATTCAGCCAGATTGCATGTGTGCATATCATGTGCACATACCCTCTGGTTAATCGTTATGTAGCCATGGTATAGATGGCCCATAGAAATAGTTGATTTACCTATTATATAAACATGTTGATTTTCCATGGTGTTTTGTATGTTTACCAGAGGGCGTATATATATAAATTATATAATGTTTATGTTGTGCAATAATGTTTCTTATGCGCCAGCACCGTTCTTTTTTGGGGGGATTTCACAGGAACCCACCTGCATATGACACAAGCACAGATCAGAGACTGAGCACTAAGCAAATGAAGCTCTTGCAGCCGCTCCTTGCAAGAACACGTATACAGTAGCAGTCTGGAATCGTTACAGCAAGATGCCAGTAGAGCGGCCCACAAGAAAGACTGCAAAGTGAACCCATAGTTTGATGTTGATTCAGCTCCTTCTTTGGAATACTATATAAGTATACAAAAAAAAAACAAACGGACCCAAATGGCACTCTTAGTCCCTGTCATTTTGAAGTGTTCCATGGCAAAGTCAAAGATGAGAACACCGAGGCTTCCTCGAGATACCTTTGATCACCAGCGTTTGGGCCTCGGGGAAGTTGTCGGGGCTAAGGCGGGTGCAGGCTCCCTCGGGGTTACGGGCATGACCCGACTGAAGTAAGATAAGGTAAGAAATGGCACGCGTGAAGATGCACACTTGTAATCATTTGTATATACTATACATGTAATATAATATATATATATATACATTACAAATATATGTATGGGCCTGGGCGTTTGTGTGTTGTGCGTTTGTGTGTTTTTTTTATCTGATGAGTGGATGTTTTTTTTCAAACATACGGAGGCTCCACGGAGGGATGGGAGGCATGAGGTAAGGCTCCCCAGTGACAAGTTGGCTTAAGTTGACGCAAAGAACTTGGGGAAAACCAAGGTTTATGGAGGATAAAACTGATATGAACTGATATAACTATTTTTGCTTATGGGTTCAGAAACCAACAAACATAGCTGGGGCTTTTTGTTTGGTATCCCAGGACTGAGGCAATTGTCTACGCGTCAACAAAGCACCCTACAGCACCCCTGAAAATGATAGAAAAACACATCATCCATATCATCTTGGAAATACTTTGTTCTACTTTTTTTGTGGGCTATGTACTGTATGTGGTCTGGATTGTATTTTGTTACCTTTTTGTCCTTGTTCTTACTGTAATTCAACAAACATTAAAGGTGTTTCGAAGGTTAGGGCATCACAGAAAATGAAGCTTTAGGATGGCCACATGATACTGATGATAATTGGTCATGAATTACTGTATTTCAGCGTATATGATTCTTATTGAACATTCTTGTTTGTGTGTCATTGTTTTTATATGTGCTTCTCAAAAATGCACGTTATTAATGACCCTCATGTTCGAGCCACCTGCACACAGGTCATAAGGACCTCTCAGAATGCGAAATCTGCCACTGGACCTCAGAGCTTTGCGGCGTGTGACTGCCTCCCATGCACCGCACTATCGTAGTTGGGTGTGACCCCCCATGGGAACCGGGGACTGATCGACAAAACATCTAAAACTGATGTATGTTCCCAATGTTGCGCTGATTTGCCAGAGCGTAGATTGAAGAATAACATGTCCATGTCCTTTAATCCATGTCCTTTAAACATGTTTTAACGGCTAGAAGATGAGCAAACTGTGTAATCCGAGATTTGATGGGGTTATAGTTGTTAAAAAAAGTCGTTATTGTGTTAGTTTAAAACTATAGAAACTATAGACAGTAAATGTATGATGTTGGATTTCTTTATTTTTAGCTTCAATGAGTTTACTAAGTGTGGCCCAAAGCCCAAACGGGAAATCATGCGAACCGTGAACCGTGGGAGACGACCCACGACGCGTCCGGTGAGGAGACTACCTATGAAGTATTTCTGTCAGGAGTTGCATACATGCAGTTGCACACATATGGGTATGGGTCAATACCTATTAATACCATTTTTAGTGGGATGAACATCCATTTACCAGCTATTTTGATGTTCACTAGGGGTACAAGGTTTTGACGCACTGCTATATATGTGTATAATATATATATATATATTGCTTCATCACAGCCTCCCAGAATTGGTTTTCGGGATTATCCAGGGAACACCAGTCAGTTCACTCTGTAGACATTGTGCGATTCACAATCATGTACAGCCCCTCAACGTAACATGGACCCCAGAAATGCAGACATCTCGCAGTAAAAGTCTTTTTGGGATCCCAATTTTCTGCTCCCAGCTGTGCTGAGGCTTGGTGGAATATGAAGAAGGTGATGAGCTCATAAGACTTCCATGCCCAGACCTCAGGGTCCTCAGGGTCCTCAGGGTCACACTGTAGCTGAGCTCTTGAGGGAAATGGTGGGATTATCACCAACAAGAAGTGAATTTGGGGTCTGGTAATTCTGCATTGCTATGCGAGGCGCGGGCAAGATTCCAAAGCTATGTTAAATCATCAGATGGGACTTGTCATAATGATATCATAGGTGTTACAGGAAAACTGATAACCCAAAGCTTAGTGATGTCGTTTTCAACCACTATATAGTTG